TGTCACTATTGTTAAGGAGCATTGGTCTCAAATTTCTTCCAGGTGTCCCATGGTGGGGGTGTGGAGTAATTTGAAAGCTTTTAAGCATGGCTTAAAAACTTTGAATACTAAACAGTTCTCTAATGTGGCTGACAGAGTGACTCAAGCTCAAGCGCATTTGTTGAATATCCAGAATCAGCTTGTTGCTGATGTGAACAATGATGTGCTTCATAGTCAGGAGGATGATGATGTGCAGCATGTTAAGTACTGGCTGAGGATCCAGGAGAGCATTTATAAGCAAAAGTCTAGAGTGGATTGGATTACTCTTGGTGATTCTAATTCTCACTACTTTTTCTCTATTATGAAGCAAAGGCAGCATAGGAACAGGATCAATTCTATTTTTACAAAAGATGATGTCCTTATCAATGATCCTGGCTTGATTTCTGATGAAATAATTAGATTCTATAAGGATATTTTGGGTTCCAAAGTTGATACTAGATGCAGAGGCTATTAGTATCTTGTCTGCTGATGTTTCTCATGATGAGATTGATGCTTCTCTAAATAGTATTGATCATGAGAAAGCTCCTAGAATTGATGGGCTTAATGTTGTTTTCTTTAAGAAAGCTTGGCCTATCATAAAACATGATGTTTACAGTGCTATGTTGTATTTCTTTCACTGTGGTAAAATGGCTAAGCAATGGAACTGCACTACTATAACCTTGGTTCCTAAGGTGCAAAATCCCTCTTATGCTAAAGAATTCAGGCCTATAGTTTGCTGTACTATGGTTTATAATCTTATTTCCAAGGTTATTACTAGTAGGCTGTCTAGAGTGGTTGGTCTGTCATAAATGATGCTCAGGCTGGTTTTATTCCAGTAAAACATATTGGTGACAACATTCTCTTAGCTACAGAATTGATTAAGGGGTACTCTCACAAATTTATTACTCCTAGGTGCATGCTTAAGGTTGATCTCAAAAAAGCCTATGATTCAGTTGAATGGAGTTTTCTTGAGACTGTTCTTGGTGAACTTGGCTTTCCTAATAGAGTGATTAATTGGATTATGGGATGTATTAGCATTATTTCTTATTCCATTCTTATTAATGGCTTTCCTACCCTTCCCTTTCAAGCTCAAAAAGGCTTAAGCAATTAAGGTGATCCCATGTCACCTTTCCTTTTTGCCATTTGCATGGAGTAGGAAATGGTGTCTAATCCTGAGTTTAATTTTCACCCTAGATGTGAAAAACTCAATCTTACTCACTTAATGTTTGCAGATGATCTTCTCTTATTTGCTAGAGCTAATGCTATCTCTGTGCAACTCTTGGTTACTGCTTTTCAGAAGTTCTCTCAAACATATGGTCTTTCTGCTAATTTGCATAAGAGTGATGCTTATTTTGGGGGAATTGATGATATTTCTCATGCTAATTTGTTGCATATTCTTGGTATGGTTGCTAGCTGATAGTATTTCTTTCAAGTATTAGGGGGTCCCACTTTCTTCAAAGAAACTTACAGTTTCTCAGTGCAGACCTTTGGTTGAAAGGATCACTTCAAGAATTGATTCCTGGGCTGCCAGGATCTTATCTTATGCGGGAAGATTACAGCTTATTAAAAGTGTGCTGTTTGGAATCCAATTCTACTAGGCACACATTTTTATCCTTCCTAAGAAGATTCTTAGAGAAATGGAAGCTAAATTGAGGTGTTTTCTCTAGACTGGGAAGGGTAATCCTTCTAGGAAAGCTCTTGTAGCCTAGAAGTTTTTATGCCTTCCCAAGTCTTGTGGTGGCTGGAATATAACTTCTTTGAGTGATTGGAATTCTGCTGCTGTCACTAAAATATTGTGGGATCTGTCTCATAAAGTTGTCAGCCTTTGGGTGAAGTGGGTTCACATATACTATTTCAACGGGAAAGACTTCTAGAGTTCTGGTATTCCTAGTAAGTGCTCTTGGATTCTCAAGAAAATTTTGAAATGCAGAGTAATTGTTGATAATATTGGTGGCTGGGATATTATTGTTGAAAATGGCAAAATGCAAATCTAGAAACTGTATAAACTTTTGATTCCTCAAACCCCCAAGACGGATTGGAGAAGGATCATCTGCAATAATAGAGCTTCACCTAACAGCCTGTTCATTACTTGGTTGGGTTGTTGGGACAGGCTTGTAATAAAGGACAGATTGATGAGTTGGCATATCTGATCCCTTGTGATCCAGTTTGTTTCCTTTGTAATGTTGCAAATGAGAGTGTTAATCACTTGTATTTTGCTTGTATTTTGCTTGTTGCTTGTGAAAAATAGTTGGCTAGCAAAATCTGTAGGAAAGGAACAACAAAGAGGACTGTATGCTATGTGTTTTGTTGAATCGATTCATGGTATATGGCTACAAAGGAACTCTTTGATCTTCACTGTTAGCTGCAAGACTTCTGCTCAAGTTTATAGAGATGTAATTTTTAATGTAGCTTGCAGATGTATTGATAATGATAGGAAGCTTTTATTGAGCTGATTTGATATTTTTGCTGTATTTTGGTTTACTTTTGTTGTATATTCCTGGTGCTTTAGTTAAGCTCCTGAGTCCAGTTTGTGTCCTCCCTGTTCTTGTTTCTTCTGGTGAACCCTTCCTAGAAGTTGGCACCAGTAGTTTCTAGTTCAAGTTAGGGGTGAAGCCTTTTGGGTGCAGGGAACCCTTCCTAGAAGGTGGCTCTGTCTCTCTTTTGCTTCTTGGTGTTGATTGGTCTTTTAGGCTCTATGGTGTTTGTTAGGTGTTTGGTTGGCCTTTTAGGTCTTGTGGTGTATGTGTTGGTTTCAACTTGCTTTTTGTAAGTTGGCTCCTTTTTACTTTTGGTAATAAAATCTCTTATTTACAAAAAAAAAAAAAAAAAAAAAAAATCATGCAAACAGGCATAGGGCATAAAGCTAAAGCCACTTGTAATAATTTGGGTAGGTTTAATTTGGATATTTAAATATCATATGAATATGAATAGAATGCACCCTTAGACCTTGTTTTGTCCTTATTTCCACTTTGTTAGTTTATAAAAAATATGTCTAGATAAATGGTGATAAAAGTTAATTAATTCAAACAAAAACTAATTAAAATTATAATAAGTTCACATATTTGATGATAAACAACTATATATGTACAAGTTTAATTTACAACTTAAATAAGTTCTAATGTGTTCAAATATGTTTTATTAAGTGCATATAAGCTAAAAGGAGTTGGATTAGCAAAAATTAGGTGAATAGTACGCATTCTTTAGATAAAATATGATAATTTCGAACAATTTTAATTAATTTCCAATAAGTTTAGATAAGTGAATATCATGTTGAAGAAACACATTTATTGCGGTATTGTCAATATATATTGTTATTAGGGATTTTTTTAGATTTTTTATCCAAATCAATAAACCTAATTACCAGTCTGTACATGTATTGTGTATAGCTTATCCAAATTAATAAACATACTCTATTACAGTATCATACTAGCTAGTCTGTACATGTACTTTGCACGAATTATCCAAATCAATAATCCAACAAATTTACTTTATTACATAGTATCATACTAGTCTGTACTAAGGATGGCAATGGGTCGGATCTGGGTCGAGTCTGACAAGACCTAGATCCAGAACCGCATTATTGGAGGTGGACCCAAATCCGACCCAGATACACACTGGGTCTATATAAATTAGACCCAGACTCATATCCATTGGGTCTAGCGAGTCTCGGGTCTAAAACATGTCCAAAATGGGTCTAATTTTTTTTTTATCACTTAGTTTTTAATATAATAATTATCCTATTACTTGTATGACTATAAATATACATTAAACAATCTTGCTATATAGTACATATCAAAATAAACTTCATTAAAAAAAGATACATTAAAAAAAACATACCACTAAACATACGATTACATGACAATCGACTTAACGAGAGTAGGAGGTAGGAGCCGTTTGACTTGGAGCCCTTGGAAAAGTGGCGACAGTAGTTTGGAACTAGGTTCTTTAGGTTTTTCTTTTATCTAATTCTTTAGATTAGAAAATTATGACTTATTTATTTTTTTATTTTTTTATAAATATCTTCGGGTCTATGGGTCGAATCTGGATCGAGTCTAGGTCTAAACTTTTCAGACCCAGACCCAAACCTACCCAAAGCACTTAGATCCAGATCCGACCCAGATCCATTGGGTCTAAAATTTTAGGACCCAAATCCTAAAATATGGATGTCGAGTCTAGACCCATTGTCATCCCTAGTCTGCACACAATATCATACTAATATGTACATTACATAATATCATATTAGTATGTGCATGTACTCTGCACGATTTATCCAAATCAATAAAATTACTTTATTACATAATATCTTACTAGTCAGTACATTACACAGTATCATATTAGTCTGTACATGTAATCTGCTCGACCTATCCAAATTAATCATTATAATAATACTGATTTGTTTCCAATTTTCATCGATTTCAAATATTTGTATACAGAGTAAGATTGATCATTTTAATCATTTTCCATTTCGGGTGGATTTAGCTAGAAATTTTGGTAATTTAAATGATTTTAGCAATATTTAAAGTAGGTTGAATAATTGAGTTTTTAGGCCATTCTTTAATCCTACTTTACAATTTATTCAACCTACTTTACATTTGTGTGTGCATTTTTGACCATTTATATATTGAACCATATAAGTAAAAATTATAAAAACTTGATATTTGAAAAAATTACACTAAGTTGAATCTAGTATGATCACTCATGCTAATTTATTTTCCTTTGAACAAATCAGAAAATATGGTCAAAGTTATTTTATTTTGACCACATGAATGAGTCGAACTTTCAAAAACAAAGTTAATATATAATATATTACGGTATGATAAATATGTTTATTTGATCTAATAATATTTATAATCCTAGCCACACATTTAGAAAATATCATTATTGATCCTCGATAATTCAAAAACAATTTTTAAGTCAAAAAGATTTGAACATCATCTCATCAAAACCCCCTAAAAATTGGACCCAAATACCTAAAATACCCCTAATCACACACGTATGAGAAAAAAAGAAAAAAAATAAAATTGAATTTGACACGTTCGAAATTTCAAATTCTAGGGTTTATTGTGGTAGAAGGGGCAGAACGGGCAGGTATACTGTAAACCTCCTCTCCTTCTTCCCACAAAACCACAAACAACCACCTTCCTCCCGCTTCTTCGACACATTCGAAATACCCTCTTTTTCTCTCTCCTCTTTATATATTTTCATCGTCTTCCTCCTCCTCTTTCTCTCTCTTCTCTGCTACTCACTTTCTCTCTCCTCCTTCACTTTCTCTCTCCTCGTTTCTTCGATTCTTTCTCTCCTCTGAAAATCTTGAGAATATCACTGAATTAGGGTTTTCAGGGTTTTCAGGGTTTAGGTTTTTGGTTTTTGAGGTGTTATTGTTATCAACCCTAATTTTTCGTCATTCTATACAGGAAAAGTTTGTGTTGAGGTAACTTACTCTTTTCTCTCTTTCGTTATGATATTTTTTTTTTTTTTTTTTTTGGTGGTGGAATTTGATTTTGGATGTAATTTATGATAGATCTGCTTTGTGTTTGGTTGATTGTTTGGATTTTTAGTGTTATTTAGGGGTTTTGAATTTTTCAATTTAAAGGGTGGATTTTACTGTTTCATTTGATTATGTTGATTTTAGCGGATTTTTAGGGTTTTTGTTAGTTTAGGTGTGTTTGGATGTTGTAAATTGAATTTTCTGCCCTTTGTTTTAAAGTTGATAAAAGGAAGTTGCTTCTAAATGATAGTTTTTGAAATTATAAAGGTCAGTGATTTTATTTGAGATTTTGAAATTGCGATGTTATAGTTGATTAGCATTTGATTTTACTGCAAATTTTGAATTTGGACATGAGTTGTTACAGCTTTCAATATCAAGTGCAGGGTTTGATGTTACTATTAGTTGATTACGTTGGCGAGTAGTCCTGGATTTCTTGAAGGAAAGTTTTGACGAATATATGTTCAATACTGATACTATTACTGGATTTTCTGCTGATTTTAGGCGTTTAGCAAGTAGTGTTAATGTTTGTTCAGCAATGTGTAATGGTTTTTATGGTTCTGGTTCAACGATTTTAACTGCTTTGTCATCCCAATGATTTTAGATGAGAAATGAAGTAAAAGCTATGTTTTATTATTGAATTGATGGTGGCAAAATAACCGTGTATTGGGCATATCAACTAATTAAAGACTTAGGAAGGAAAACATTAGATAATAAGGTAAAAAAAAAAACACTCCCTCTATACCAAAATAATTTACAACAGCAACTTAACATACATGCCAAAGCAATAGTTTGACCCTAGATATGTACAGGTAAATATTAGTAAAAATACTAAAAAGTTGATATTATGAAACTTTAAATTAACACCTATTTGACAACATATTTCAAGATAAAATTTGTTTTTAATACGATGGTAAAAAGCTATGCTCAAAATTAGTATGTAAATAGTGAAAAAAGTCCAAGGTGATATTTATTCTGTGATGAAGGGAGTAGTATTTTAGGGTCATATGGAGCTTTTCCCTTTTTCTCAAATTAGGTCTTGTTCAAATGTCTGTTGTCTCGGTTTGTTCTTGATAAATATTTTATGATGTTGGTGTTTTGATTTTATTACGGTTTCATGTTTTTTGTTATTTTTTTTTTTTTTTTTAATTTGGTGTTCTGCTCCTTTAGCTGTCGAAGTTTTAATATGCTTATCTAAACTTATTACACCTTAGCATAATAAGCTGTGTTCTTGGGATAATCATTTTTCTTGATATGTGATCAATATTGTCCTCTTACATGCAGTGTTAAGAGAAAATGTCGATGGATATTACTTCATATCTGCTGGCAGCACAATCACCTGATACTAAAACCCGCACAGAGGCTGAGGCTAGCCTCAGGCAGTTCCAGGAACAGAACCCTTCTGGTTTTTTGCACGCATTGTCAGCTGAGCTCTCAAATGATGGAAAGCCAATGGAGTCTCGTAGGTTGGCTGGTATAGTGCTGAAAAATTCATTAGATGCTAAGGATGCTTCTCGGAAGGATCATCTTGTGCAACAGTGGGTGGCTATTGATGCTTCTGTGAAGTTGCAAATCAAGGAGTCACTTTTGAGGACATTAATGTCTGTGACGCAGGAAGCATGGCACACTTCATCTCAAGTAATTGCCAAAATTGCTTCCATTGAAATTCCAAGGAAGGAGTGGCCGGATCTGATTGGATCTTTGCTTAATAACATGACTCAACCAGATGCTCCAGCTTCATTAAAGCAAGCAACACTAGAGACCCTTGGATATGTTTGTGAGGAGACATCCCATGAACAGCTGGAGCAAAGTGAAGTGAATGCTATTCTGACAGCTGTTGTTCAGGGAATGAACTTTGCTCAACATAGTGCAGAAATTCGCCTTGCAGCAACAAAGGCACTATATAATGCTCTTGCTTTTGCAGAAACTAACTTTAAGAATGAGATGGAACGGAGTTACATCATGAAGGTGGTTTGTGAAACTGCAACATCTCAGGAGGTAGAGATTAGGCAGGCTGCTTACGAATGTCTTGTGGCAATTGCATCAATGTACTACATAGTGCTTGAACCCTACATGCAGACTCTCTTTGAGCTTACATCAAAAGCAGTAAAAGGGGATGAGGAGATTGTTGCTCTTCAAGCAATTGAATTTTGGAGCTCCATATGTGATGAAGAAATTGATATTCAAGAATCTTATGAAGGGCAGAGTGACCAGTCTGATCCTCCTCATTCTCGCTTCATTGAGAAAGCTTTACAGTTTTTGGTACCAATGTTATTGGAAACTTTATTGAAGCAAGAGGAGGATCAAGACCAGGATGACAGCACTTGGAATCTGTCTATGGCTGGTGGGACATGTTTGGGTCTTGTGGCGCGGACGGTTGGTGATGCTGTTGTGCAGCTTGTGATGCCTTTTGTCGAGAGTAACATATCTAGTCCAGAATGGCGTGCCCGTGAAGCAGCTACATATGCATTTGGCTCAATCCTCGAGGGCCCTAGCATTGAGAAGCTCTCGCCTCTAGTTCATGCGGGTTTGGAATTCCTGCTTAAGGCAATGAACGACCAAAACGATCATGTAAAGGACACAACTGCTTGGACATTGAGCCGCATATTTGAGCTGCTACATTGCCCAGCTTCTGGATTTTCAGTCATTAATGCTGCCAACCTCCAACCTATTCTGGGTGTTCTACTGGAGGGCATCAAGGATACCCCACATGTGGCAGAGAAGATTTGTGGTGCTATCTATTACCTTGCACAAGGTTTTGAGGAGGATGGAGCAAGCTCATCTACCCTCACACCTTATCTCCCCCAAATTATACCTTCTCTCATCACAGCTGCTGATAGAACAGACAGCAATGACTCTAAACTACGGTCTGCTGCGTATGAAACATTAAACGAGGTGGTTAGGTGTGCTAATGTGCCAGAAACAGCTCAAATCATTGAACAGTTGCTTCATGTTATAATGAACAAATTATCGCTGTCTTTTGAGCTTCCAATTGATAAAGAAAAACAAGGAGATCTGCAAGCACTACTTTGTGCAGTCTTACAGGTCATCATCCAAAAACTTAATTTTGATGAGACAAAACAGATCATACTAAAATTTGCAGATCAGATGATGATCTTGTTCCTCAGAATATTTGCTTGTCGCAGTTCTACAGTGCATGAAGAGGCTATGCTTGCAATTGGTGCATTAGCTTATGCAACTGGACCAGAGTTTGGGAAGTACATGCCAGAGTTCTACAAGTATTTGGAGATGGGTTTACAGAACTTTGAAGAGTACCAAGTCTGTAGCATTACAGTTGGGGTAGTTGGTGATATTTGCCGTGCCCTGGATGATAAGATATTACCTTATTGTGATGGAATTATGGCCCTCCTTCTCAAGGATCTCTCGAGTGGTGACCTACATCGTTCTGTCAAACCACCAATATTCTCTTGCTTTGGTGATATTGCTCTTTCAATTGGAGCACAGTTTGAGAAGTACCTTGGCTATGCTATACCCATGCTACAGAGTGCATCTGAGGTGTGTGCTCAGATGGACACAGATGATGATGAGATTATGGAATATGGCAACCTTCTCCGGCGCAGCATCTTTGAGGCTTACTCTGGGATACTGCAGGGTTTGAAGGATGCTAAGCCTGAGCTCCTTGTTCCGCATGCAAAGCATCTTCTGCAGTTCCTAGAATTTGTCTTTAGAGACAAAAATAGGTATGTCTGAACCCTCGCATTCTTGGTGTCTTATCACTTTCTTTCATATTTTCTTCTCGTCTAATGTTAATTATTTTCTGTTTGTGGTGCAGAGATGAGAGCGTGACAAAAGCTGCTATTGCTGTCTTGGGAGATCTTGCGGATGCACTTGGTCAAAATGCAAAGATATTCTTGAAGGACTGCTCATTTTGCGTTGATTTCATCCACGAGTGTCTTGAATCTGGTGATGAGCAGCTTAAGGATACCGCATTATGGACTCAGGGGATGATTGGTCAGGTTATGGTTTCATGAGAGGCAGTATTTTACATCGCTGCAGAAAAATTGTCAGCATGCGTCATTGCCTCTGTTCTAAGCCTTGTGTGGGGTATCAGGTATGGGTTATGTCAGGGTTTAAGAGTCTGGGGTCCAGTATTCACGTCATGTCTGACGTAAATTTTGGTCTTCGCAAGGTTTCAGTCACCTAAGTTGTTTTGGTGTCAAGATCTGGGTCGGGTAAGGGGTTGGGGTAATTTGTTGTTTGGGGGGGGGGGTGTTTGATCCTTATCTATATAAGGTCACTGAATTAAAAGGAGTGGCCTCTTATTGGCCTTGTGAAACTTTGATTAATTCAATGCATCCACTACTTTGGTGGTTCGAGTCTATTCTGTTTGCCTCTTAATTTCTTCATCTATTTATTTTTAGTGCATGAATCATGTGGTTAATTCTAAAGCTTTTTGCTTGATCATGATAACCAGTTCTATTTCTAAACTTGTATGTTATGGACCTCTGCTGTAATTTGAATGCTTTGTGCTGAAGTATATAAAATTGAATATCTATAATTGGACTTTTCTTGTGCACTAAATATTGTATGAAAATGCAAAGTTCTAGTGTTCACTTTTAAGTGGTAAATTTGGCTTACTTCCAAGTGTTCCAACGGTTTAGTTCTTCCCTATTTTAGAATTTCAGTATATGACTATCACTCTCTCACTCCGGATAACTAAAAGAGGCATCATTAATTAGCTATATCCTGGTTCCAAGATGAAACAGTTTGGTAGCCTTCTGTTGCTGCATCATTGTTCCTTGTTGAATCTTTAGAAGTAACCTATTAAAATTCTTTTTCGCTTAATTCACTCTCGTTCCTCACCAGTTTCACAATCAAGGTTTCTGCTTATTTCTGCCATACCATCCTGATTAGTGTTCTATAGGCTGGTAATTAAGACTGTTATGTGGTTGACTAGTTTCTCTAGCTGGGGCAAAAATTGAGGAATCGGCAAAACTTGTATTCAGTTTGTTTTCTTGCTTCTCACAACCACAATTTGTTTTAGAATAAAGATATAAAATTTTCTTGCTTCTCACAACCACAATTTGTTTCATTGCCCCTAGAAGCGTATGATTTTTTAACATCTCTGAATGTTCATCCCATAATTTTTGTTGTTATCGGTCTCATAGTATTTGCTACACTTCCATACAGGAGTGACTCTAATACGATGAGGGATGTTAGTGGGGCGGGTGAAGACTCGCCCAAATCCTCCTCTACGATGCCTGTATTTTTTTTTTTTTTAATATATATATATATATAAAAACATTGCTGGCATCTATTTTGGACACCATTAGTGGTTTAGGACTTTTTTTAGTAGTTGTAAAGCTTGCAGTTAACGGTGGCTGAGTGTGGTGTCAATGTGCCAGTGACAATAGGTGGTTAGAGAACTGTAGGGGACGAGAGGATAGGGAGAGATTAAAGATATGAGGGAGAGAGAGGAGATGGCGGTGGCTGGGGCATAAATGATGGCGATGGCAATGGTCAGTTGGTGCATAGGGTGTTATGTGTCAGTAAGACCTGTTAGTGCTGGACTACTGGTTAGGTTAATGGGGGAACAGGAGAAAGAGTTGAGTCACAGCTAATGAGTTTGGACTATAAAGAGTGTTGACGAAAGTTCACTATTTATGATGATGTGATGAAGGGAATAACAATATGAATATGTTTTTTTTTTAAGGAATAATAATTACGGAGTATGCATTATACTTGGTATAAACTTGTGTGATGTGCAATATATCCGTAGTATGTATTGTGAAAAGTGTTATTAAAATTAATGGATAGTTTTCAAATAGTTATAATAAAATTGTAGTCATTGTATTAGATCAAATCTCATCCCTTTATTTATTTTAATTTATATAAACCGTTGATTTGGAATTTAGGTTGACTTTTTTTTTTTACAAAAAGTGTATAAAAAAAACGTTCTTTCAGTTTCTCCTTCATCAATATTTTGTTTTGCTTTGCTACCATCTAGAATCCAACATGTTTTTATTTCATCTCCATTTTTTCTCGAACGCTCATTAATGTTGCAGTTTCTTGATCGTTACAATGCTCCTTCGGTCCTTTCCCTCTTCGTTTTATTTTAAAGGGGCTGAGTTTAAAGTTTAATATAACACCATGAAAACCGTTATTTCAGATCTTATTTATGTATTTATGATTTTATTTTTTTTCTTTTTCTTTTTTTGAAAAGCTGCTCACAATTTTCGTTTATCTTTATTCTATTTTAATTTGGCAGAATCCTTTAAGATCTAAAGGAATAGAGAATGATTCCAAAAATGAGAAGATCATGGATCAAAATACTGAAGGAGAAAATAAATCAAAGATGAAAGTAATCTCTCTCTCTTTTTTTTTATTTATTATTTTTTTTTTTTTCAATTTTCCTTTAAAAAAAACTAAATAGTTATCTAAATCAACGGTTTATAATAATCAAGATAAATAAATGGTTGAGATTTGATCTAATATAATGACTATAATTTTATTGTATCCGCTCAAAAATCATCCTCAAATCAATACATTAATAGTGCAAAAAGTCAAAACGTTGCCTTTATTATGAAACGAAGGTAATACATTATGAGGTCAAAATAACAACTATAATTTACTTATTTGTGGAAGTTATTTCCCTCTTGGGGAAATTCTCCACGTGCCCACATACATTTCTAGCTATTTCCGAATATCTTGGTAAAATTCAACAGTCAATGTAAGCTGATTCGAAAATCCAACACCTTTGTTTTTTATACAATACACGAAGTCTTTTTGCAATTCCTAGCTCAAATCAATGATTTAGTAGTTTTTATGAAGCCGAATTCCATGAACATTCGATCGATGTTTTTTGTTGGATTTGTAATAGAAATTAAAGCAAAAATTGAGTAACTAACCTAAGTCAAAGCTAAAAATCAACCAAACATCTTGAATTGAAAATACAGCGCATTTTTCAGGAAAAAATGGTGTATTGTCATGGAGGAAAAAAAAGGTGATGATCTTGGAGCGACAAAAATGGCGTTTTGGTACTATTTTGATGGAGAGAGGATTTAGAAAATAAAAAGGGCTTTTTTGTTTTTGTTTTTGTTTGTCATAATATGAATTGGGTTGGGCTTTTAGTAAGAAGTTGAATATGTTTTATGACAGGCTAAAGAATTGAAAGAACTGTCATTAAAAATGTTACATTAGTAAAAGGATTTTGAGTCCGTCATTAAAGGGCTATTGTAAAAGGATCAGATTTTTGTAGTGTTAGTGTATTACTAACCAAGCACGAGTATGAACAACACATTTACTATATTAAACCGTCTTCACACATATCACTCAACTTAGATCAAACCGAAACAAAATTTATTTTAAGTGTGACAAAACCATTGTTCTTAAAACTAGGACCTTTATCATCTAACTACTTTCATCGGCAACTTCTAATTACTCTATTACAGGCATTACAGCAGCATTCTTCCAAACTTCTGCTTATCTATTCGGTCTAATTATACTAGTCTTTCAGTTTATATTTAATACTATTCTTTCTAGTGCTCTTGATCAATCCTAACCTAAAAATCTTTGCTAATAGCCAAATAAGACCATTATGTCCATGACAACAAAGGGCTAAATTCTGCTCTTCCATCTTCAACATTATCACAACCTGGATGATTCTATCGATACCTATCTTAGAAGTCTAAACAGAAGGGTAAATGCCATCCGAAGATCAACAGGATACTTAACTTGTAGGCAAGGTTAAAATAGAAAGATTAGCCGAATCAAACCATAGAAAAAGTCTAAAGACTAGAGATCATAATTTCCAGCACCATTTTTTTGTTTATCACCAAGAACTAAGCCTTCCAACAACCTCTCAGCACTGCAGATATACTAGTGTACTGTTAAAAGTTCCGCATCCTACTTCCCATACCAGCCAGGAAAAAAAAAAATGTGAGAACTACTCGAAATATATAGAGACCTGGGGAATATCAACATCGTTGTCCTCTTCATCTTCACAAGCAACCACCACATCAAAATGCTTACGGTTCGAAGGAAGCTCAGCCTTGGCAACCTCCCTGGCAAGATCAACCATCTTCTTGTCCATTCTATCTTTATGCCTCGGGAACATACTATTGTACAGCAAGCAACTGCCATAGGATACACTGTAAGCACTAAGCCCCTTGTTCTGAAGCCAGTCAAGGAGCTGTCTCAATGTCGGATTATCCCTCAGAATCCAACGGTCCCAGACTGTCCAGCTCATGTCCTGGTGCTTGATCACTTTAGGTGGGACCGGTTCAGCCATTGAGAATAGAGGGAGTGCGAGGTTGGCAAAAGTATTGCGGTAGTCCTCCACTTTGTGCCCTCCATCCAAGGCTTTGTAGAGCTCCAGACAGACAAGACCTGTAGCCATGGCCGTGGATGTTGCAATAGCAGGGATAATCCTACCAGCAATGAACTTTGCCTTGAGTTTGTCAACCTCAGGAATACCATAGTTTCTTGCCCTCATGTTAGCAAGTCCAGCAATCATATCCATGTGATAATTGGTATCATCATCCTGCCAATGTATCGTAAGCTTTTTCAGTACATACATAACTAAAGTATATATAAACAGGGAATTAATAAGCTCAGAAAATGCAGAGTACAAGACTTAAAGAGTCTAGAGCTAATAGAAGGATGATATAACTTATAAAGCATTGACAAAAATTGGTGTGGGACAATAAACAAATTTCACATCATTGGCATATTATCTCACCGTAATCTTGAAGCTTCTCAAAAAATTCGTACAAAGAGATATTCACTACTGGTGATTAATAGAGATGAACAATTGCACTACATTTTTACTCAATTAATATGCACCTTAGCCCAAAAAGAAAACAAAGTTTACAACAAGAATTGGGAAAAAAAAATAGTCAAATAGACTAAGATTAATGTCGGAATTAATTCAATGCCAAAACCAAATTAAGGTGATAAACTTAGGTTTTCTTTGTTTTCACGAGAGAGAGAGAGAGAGAGAGAGAGAGAGAGAGAGAGAGAGACTAACAACTACTTGTATATTTTAAAAGTGAAAAGAAAAATAAGCCCCATAAATTCATTATGCAATTTAATTCTAAACCAATAGACCATAGAAGTACTGTCTAAAGTAAAACAATTGACCATGGAAGTAAATTGTATTGATACAAAATCAAACTCCAATGATGAACTTTTGTAACTCAATCTATTAGTTTTGTAATGAAAAGAAAACATTGAGAACAAACTTCTTAAATCTTATTACTCTAAAATTGATATATAAGAAGTCCATTTAATTTTTTAGTAGATGAAAAAAAAACTCATAAAACAAAGTTGCTGCAAAATCAAGAAACTGACATTAACGGACATCTTGATCATATGCAAAATCAAGAAACTGACATTAATGAACATCTTGATCATATAATTATGAAGATCTAATGGGCCAAATTGTTCTCACTTCTTATTAGATCCTACTTTGGTGAATTCAAGACAACAATATGGTGATGGATTCAACATCTAGAAACAATTATACAGGTATGAAATAGATGACGCTTACCTTCTCAAACTGCACTGGGCTCATCCTGAAGCTAGAGGAGAGCTGGCCCCTGCAGTTCTCTAACCTAGCGACCAATTGTTCAATCACCTCAGCATCATCTATTGAAGCATTAGAAAGGCTTGTAGCTTTCTCATCCGTAACAATCTTTGCATCCTTCTTTGGCTCAAAATCAGGAACAATCACTTTACTGACAGCATCTGCTAGTTTTTGGGGAGATCTGATCCAGTCAGGTATTGGGATACCAAAAGTCTCTGCACGCAATACAGATGCCGCCACCACAAAGTTAAGGTGGCCTGCATCCTCCACGGAGAACTGCAAAGGGCGTGGAAAACGTTTGGGAGCAGACCAGAATGGGGCACCTGTACTGGTTACAGCATCTTCAGGGAATGTAAATGTCAACTGCTTCACGCGGTCCGAGAAGTAGTCTTCAAACCTATAACACAGAATACATGAATACTAATTCATTAGAGAGACAACATATCAACAATGTAAAAGAGCAGTAATGAGCCAAGCCCTAGTACCTCAAACGTGCCCAGGTAATGCAGTCCTGGAAGTCTTCACATTTCTCTTTGTCAAGGCATTCAATCACACGTTCTAGGGTCTCCCTCGCCTGAGCATCACCAGATTTCCTCATGGCAGATGCATATTCACCAGGGTTATTCAGGAAGGCATTTACTTCAGCAGGTGTCTTCTCAAGCAATCCTTCAAACTCAGAGCGTGCCCAAGTCAAGCAATGGTCAATGTTGTGGGGGAAAGAATGGACAGTACACATAGGTGCCTGTCTCTCAGGCGGGTCACGAGAAGCACCATAATTTTCTGTCAGATGAGGTATAACCATCTGTGTATTGCACCTGGCACCAAGGGTCCCTGACTCGAGAAGAGGTTTCTGGAAATACACACACCTTTGATCAACATAAAGCCTAGCATTGACATTGTCCAGAGCATTGATAACCACATTCAGATTTTCCCAAAAATTGTCATCGAAGACATTCTCTGTCTCAGGACTTGCACGATTTTGAAGAGCTTCAATACGAAGATGTGGATTCATAGCAGCAGCTGCTGTTGCAGCAACTGTGGATTTTGACTGCCCAATGTTCCAATCACGGAAAAGAAATTGTCTGCTGAGGTTACTCTTTTCTATAACATCATCATCTGTAATTGTTAGTTTCCCTTGGCTTCCACAAGACACCCCCATTAAAGCCAGATTTTTCAGAAACTCGCAACCCAGAGCACCAGAGCCAACTACAAACACTTTTACATCCTCAAGCTTTTTCTGGAGCTTGGCTCCAAAAACAGAAATTTGGGCATCATATCGACTCTTCAAGGGCTTCAGATCCCTTGGATCCAGTGGTTCAGTGGGAAGGGATTCTACAGAGTCAAAGTAGAAAAACTGCAAACAAGCACAATGCAAACATAAATGCATTAATATCCAAATGAAAGGTATGCTGGAAAATGTATGCTGGACAATATTGATATGGGTACAACTATTCAGCAATTTCCAAGAAGAGAGAAAACAATAAGTTGGAAACAGTCGGAAAATTTGGAGTTTGTTGAGAGAGAGATGCATGGCAAGGAGGCAGAAAGGTTAGACCTAACCAGTCTAGCAATTTTGGGAGGTTTAATTTTTTTTTTTAATTTTTTTTTTTTTTGGGGGGTGGGGGGGGGGGATGCATGGCCAGGTGGCATAAAGATGAAAACCAACTATTTTACTTATTTTATGTGTGATCGGAAGGGTAGGGTGGGGGTGCATATAATTTAAACATCAACACTAAACACATGCAACTCAACGTGATTTTTCTTGTTTCACAATAGCAAATTTGGAGGGCTACTTTTACAAAAACTTCCAAGATTTAAACATGCATCTGACTGATTCCATTTGAAAATGGAAAGGTCGGTTTGATCATTATTATGCGATATGTAGGAAATTTAGGTACAGTAACACTGAAACAGAAAAACATGCCTCAGGGAGAGAGGGTGAAGATGAGGGAACAGAATTAAAGAGAGCAAAACAGAAAATTGTAATTAAATTGTGATGCAAGGAACAAAGCATAAAGTAGAACGAAAACTTCGAATTTTTTTTAATAAGCTCCCATTTTGTCACAGTAGATACATACATGATCTCGTATTTGTTCATGAGCAGCAATTCAGGTGAAATGAAGAAACAAACCTGGAAGAGTGGATGGAACTTCCCAGAGCATGCTTTTATAACTTCTTGCCCAACAATGCCGCCAAACATTGCAGCCATAGGATTCAAAACAGCCTTTGAACCGAAAGCGAACTGCCTAAGCAAGTCTCCATTGATATCATCAAGCTTACCATCAGTTAAACTATCATTAATTTCTTTAACAAAAGATATAAGCTTCTGAGCATCCTCCTCGGATCCAGCAACAGGAAACCGACCATAAGCTGATATGAACTTATCTAATCCTTGAAACGCCAGATGAAGAAGCGGTGGGCGATCAAACTTCGAGAAATCGCTGAGTAGGAAATCGCCAGGATCCTTAAGAGCTTCACGGAGTGTTTTGAAATTCAACACCTTTGGCTGCTTCACCTGCGTCACAATACCGCCTTTCTCATATGGGCTAAAACCTGTGGTATCTTCATCAAGAGTGAATGAGTAGGGCCTAGCATTCTTGATTTTCCTAGGCTTTCCATCATTTAATTCTGTCATCCCATAGATTTCTGAGAACGTAACCAGATCCCCATCCTGAAATTCAAGCCTCTCATCGTCCACACATGAAATCAGAGCAGGATTGTCATTACTGATAGATGCAATAATGCCAGTGTGTGGATCATTTCCATCCACATCAACTACAGTAAACTCAGGTCCAAAGTCACAGAAGACACTGCCAAAGAGGCCACATACTTCTGACTTGATGAAAGCAATAGGAGGCTGATGGTTGTGGCAATACTCATCAAATTCAACTGCTTTATCTAGACTAATATTTGTAAACACAACAGCCTGCAATATATACACAAAGGAATAAGATATAATACAAAGGAATCAGATATAATACAAAGGAATCAGATATGATAATTATGCATAACAGGAGCTGAACAATTAATAAAGCATCCATCCATAAAGAAGCTAACAGGACAGCCTGTATTCACAACAAAATAGCATTTCTGGCATTAGAAAATGTTCAAGCACCAGAACTATGGAGGGAAAGAAGTAAATGCCATCTACAAACTTTTCATAATAAATCAATCATAAGAAACCAGCCCCTCAACATCGATGATGTTGACTTCATCTGCAACTCTCACAAATTCATCACAATTTACATACGGTCAATCAGTCAGTAATTCTTTTGCAGCTATTAGTAAAATTTCTAATAGAAAAACTAGATTTCCATACATCATCTGCAACACACACTAATTCATCTCAGTCTACATATCTCACTCGGTCAATAATTCTTTTGCAGCTAATAGTAAAATTTCTAATAGACTAACTAGATTTCCATACATCATCTGCAATACACACTAATTCATATCAGTCTACATACAGTCAGTCACTCAGTCAGTAATTCTTTTGCAGCTATTAGTAATCCTTTTGCATAGATATAGTACTGCTAGGATGATAAATTTGTAATTGCACAAATTTTGTGCTGCACTGAATTAAGCAACTCTGCACCAGCATTGCTTGGGTATTGACTTTTTTCCTACCCAAAACCAGTTTCTATACTAACTTTTGGCTGTGTTTTCAAAACTAACATACTAAACCGAAAAACTTGAAAGCACTAGTCAATATTCAATCTGTCACAAAAACATAAAATCAGTTATATTTTTTATCTGTATATGCAAAAACCATATTTGAAGGAAGGCAATGTAGCGCTAGTAGATGCAAGGCTTAACAAGGAAAAGCTAATGGGCATACATCAGAAAAGAGACGGTTCAACAACTACACGCAACTGACAAAATTTTCAACATCATCATCAACCTCATCAGTAACATCAACTGCAGCAGCAAACCAAATGTTCAAGTCATCCAACATTAACAAAGGTACAATTAGCCCCAATGTCAAGCTCATCTATCCTAAGTAAAACATTAGAGCCAAAAGGCCAAAACCAAAACTTCCATTTGCTTTAGATAATACATTGAAGAATTATTTATAGATAAACATAGCATTGGTGAAGAATTATGTAAGGTATGTTTGGGATTACCCATTTGTGTAATGAAAGGCATATTTATGCTTGAAAATCATTTATGAAAAGTAAAATAACTAAGAGCAACAAAAAGGATGAATAAAAGAGAAATTACAATTTACAAGGCAACCTAATGTGTAGGATTTAAGGGCATTCATGAAGATAGGCAATCCATAAATTCGATGAAATTGTTTGATGAATAAATTGCTCAAGGGCACTATTTGGATCACATATCCACATCAATTTGCAGACTGACAGTTAAGGTTGTTTACATTTTCAAGGATTTTAACTTCATGTGGGTGTTGCACTGTAATTTTAATCCTGATAATTCCCTGTCATCTAGCCAGGATGAAGGAGCCATGATGGACAGATAGAAAATCTACCTACAAGATGTTGCTTTTATTTTAATGAAAGCCAACTTATTTAACTTTGTCATCAGAGTTGTAACACCAGTTAGACTGTTATACAATAAAAATAGCAATTACATTAGATCAACAGAAACACTTTGGAAGAAACAGAATTCGGAAAAATTTTAATTGGAAATTAATAGTAGTGATAAACTTGCAACAAATGCCCATACTACCAATGAAATTTCAATTATGGTGCACTTAGCGCCCAAAAGGAAGAGAGAGAAAAAAAAAATGCTAGAATTGTAAAGAACTTAACAATACCCTTCCCCCACAGATATTAAGATGTACTTTCAGGTCGTGGACTAATAAGTAGCTCTGGCAAATCATAATTCATTAGGAAAGGGCATTCCATCCTCTATAGTGTAAAACCCAATTGCTTTACTACCATAACCATATTTACCTACTGTTCCACAAATAACAATCTCATCTCTCAAGGCTCAATGGCTCATGCCAAAATAATTTCATGTTTGGCGAGGAAGAAAATCTGCTTGCCAACAAAAACACTTCAATGATACATCAACACACATTTGGAGTCTTTATCAATACAAAACTAGGGTACTACACCCACCCTCTCTGATGTTACATCAAAATTATCAAGCGCCTAAAACAAGAGATTTATACAGATACACCTTTTCTCAAGTAAATCAGATATGTCAGCGGTCCAAAATTAAATTTCCTGAATGAAAATCCATAATGAGGTTTACTAATATCACACTCCTTAATCTTAAGATTCTTATTAGTAATACTGTACTACAGCAGTACTTGTCAGGAGTAATATAATCAAGAACTAACAAAATTAAATAAGCATTGAATTGTACAGAGTGCTTACAAACAATGCAAATCAGCTCAATCAGACCTTGATTAATGATGAAAGGGCTTTACAATTATTTGCAAGCCAAACATTAATGTACTGCGAATAGCACACAAACAAGGTGTTTGCAAAATCTAAAGTTCTAATCATCTATATACATGATGAATGGGCAGACCCCTACACTAATAATGCAGCAATTAAATGTCAGGCTGTATGGATATTAATATGAAATGGGCGATTTCAATCTGTCAGCTGTTTACCTGAAATTCAGAAAGCATTTCCTTGGTTATTTCATTGGTTAAAGTAGAAACAACCACAGCGTTATTCAGTTCTTGCAACTTCTGAACAGAAACAAGGGCACGATTCTTTCCCACATCTTCCTCTGAAAATATAAAATTGCTGGACAGATCCCACAACTCCACAACTCCTTCATCATGCAATGTCACAGACTTAACACCAGCAAGGATAAGATTCTTTGCTGCAAGACCCATGTTCACAGCATTATTATGCAATAATAAAGCATATAGTATTACAAATGATGAATGATGCTCAGCTTTTAAGACAATAATACATGCAAGAATAATTCATGCACCAACACTAGTGTCTTATCAAAAAAACTGGGTAACTAATACTTCCTCTGTTCCCCAAATATTGCAACATGGGGATGAAACACGGATTTTAAGAAGGGGATAGAGATAGTGAGGAATAAAGATAGAGACTCATGTGATGTGGAGAGAGAAAACATGTGCAAATAGGAAAATGTTACAATATTTGTGAAACTTCCTAAAATGGTAATTATTGCAATATTTGTGGAACGGAGGAAATATGACCTTTAAACAAAGAAAGGGCACAACCACTAGATTGAGACTTACTTTCTTGCCAATCAAACGGACAAACTACATTTCAATAATTGAAAGCCTATTCAAAGATTTGTCATTCAAGGCACTAACAACTTCATGCTGTAATTAGATTTATAGGGGAAAAAACACAGTTTGACAAGCAGCTTTTCTCTTAAAGCCTCTCAAGCATGGCACCAATTCATCAATTATAACAAGATGATAATGTTCGTGAAATTCACATGATACAGCGATACAGGAATATATCTTAGCTTCTGTTCAAAGTCTTGAACAGCAGACTCGAATTACCTCCACTTATGAACATAGGGACCTCTCATTCAATTCAACTCCATCAACTATAGACAAAATACAAAACACTTCTGTTTTTCATTACTTCAAATATTCAATCACTAAAGTGCAAATCAAATAAAACCATGCAGTTTGTGTTTTTAGCTACTCCAAGCACCAATAAATTATATCAACATCAGATGAGATGACATCTACTCCACTAACACAATTTAGTTGACCTCTAAACACACATAGAGATTTCAAGCCGTTGCTAAAACTTGCCTATTCATGTAGATTATTTCACTCAAATTAAGTACCAAAGTACCAATCCAAAACTTCTTAAACCACTTGTAAATTTAAATCACGTAAAAAACCAACAACCTTCAAATGCTTAATTCAAAATGAGATAAGCCAAAGTTCTGGTCACTTTGAAACACTGGTATTACCAATAAGGCAACTATATTCACAATGATCATTGATCTTTCCTTTGCCAATTTTAAATCCACTTTTCTTTGCATTTATCTTTGAACAAAATTATCATGTAAAAGTAAGAACCAGGGAAACACCCTTCCTTTTCCCTTTTCAAACATTACAATTATCCATCATTAAAATGAATCAAGGAATAATAATCTAAAATCATCGCATGTATAACATAATATAAATAACAATATATGAAGAGAGAGAAAAAAAAAAAAAAAAAAGTCATAAAATGAATCAGAACTTCACAACAGATTTGATTAAAAAAATAGATAGAGCAGAAGAGAAAGAGAGACAATATGTATACCAATTTCAGCACCGAGGCCTTGCAAACCAGAAACAAGGATATTAGAGGCGAAAAGACGACGCATCGTCTCACGGCCATAGACGGCAAGCTGACGACTGTGCAAATCCTCGTCGATGTCATTTGGATCGCTGTTGTTATTACTACCTTTTCCATTTCCGTCACCGAAACCCATATTGGAACGCTCAGATTCACCGTTCTCCAATCCTTTACTGTGTCCGTTAGCAGACGCCGTTAAATCAAAAGAAGACGAATTAGAAGAAGAAGCAACAGTAGCGGTAGAGATCAAACAAGGCTTCTTGAGAGCAACGTTGAAGGCGGTGACCTCCACAACTTCGTCGTCAGCCTCTCCTGCCACCGCTCTCTTAACTGGAAGCATATAGTGCTTTCAACTTCTCTGCAACAATTTTTTGACATTTGAACAAAAATCAGACGTAGAAAAATCATCAGAATTATAATCGAACAAAAAAATCGATTGACGATTACGTTAAAATAAATCAAAATTCAACAAAAATAAATAAAATTAAAAAAATCAATAGAAAAATATAATTAAAATGACGATTTAGCTAAACTAATCAAACATAAAAATAAAATCAGATGAAAATTCTAAAATAAGATGACGATTTAATTAAACAACATCAAAAACTACGTAGCAAAAAAAAATAAAATCAAATGATAAAACTAAAAATAAAATGACGATTGAGCTTAAAAAATCAAAAAATCAATTGAGAAATTCTAAAATGAGTTACGATTAAGCTAAAACACATCAAAAAAACAACAAACAAAAAAATCAATTGAAAAATTCTAGAATAAAATGACGATTAAGCTAAGAAAAACATCAAAAATCAACAAACAAAATGAAATGAAAAATTGAAGAAAAATGACGATTAAGCTCAAAAAACATGAAAATTCAACGACAAGCAAAGAATCAAATGAAGAATTCGAAAATCAAAAATGACGAAAATCGTAGAACTGGAAAAATTAATCGAAGAATAGCTTAAAAAAAAAGCAAGGAAAAAGAGAGAGAGAGGAGAGAGAAAGTACCGACTGCGCGATGAGGAGGTGGAAGATGGAGGAGAGAGAATAAGTAGCCAGGAGAGAGAAAGAGGAGGGAGGTGGTGGGTTTGGTTTTGTTTGCTTGAGTTGGGGATATTTTTCTGTTTTAAATATTTATAGTATAGTAATGGTAAGGGAGTGAGGGTTTGAGGTTTGGACTGAACCTGTGGTTTAGGTATTTATGGATGGAGAGGTTGAAATGGGAGACGGTTAATGCTGTGAATTCATTTGTGGAGTTTTTCATTCAAGGAACAACTTTTGTGTGAGAAAAAAATTACTACTCGTAGTATGTTGAGAGGTTGCAGCGTGCGGGAAAAGTTACACTTGGATTTTCGAAAATCAGACAAATGTCGTCGATGGTAGGATTCGAACCGATGCGATAGTGCCAATCTTGCTTATTCAGTCCATTGATTTATCTTATTGGGCTTGCCCGCTTGGGTACGCTTGTTTTGGTCAATTTATGTTTTCAACCCTGACTAACTTATGTTTTGATGAAATTGATTTATAGAAAATCCAAGTTTATAATTAATTCATGTTTATCAAATTACTAGTTTAAATTCCGTGCAATGTACAGTTATTAAATTTTATAAAAAATTATACTCATAATACTAATTTAAAAATAAATCTAACTTTAATTTTATACCTAGTTATATCAATGTCAAGATTAGTGATACTTAAATTTGATTTTAAAAAAATAAAAAATAAAAAAAAAAGGTCTATGAGGTTTTATTTTAAAAAATAAAAGTCTAAGGATAGAACTAGCGCGTGCTGCGTTATTATTGATACGACTTTTACGAGTAGAAAATAAAGTGTATATGTGTGTTAACAAAATGATTTTAATTTTAATTGAATTAAACATTATTGCAAAAGTAACAAAAAATGGAAGAAAAAAAAAAGTTAATAGTATTATAGAAAACTAAGATAATATAGAGCAATATTGTTTAATAATATTTACTTAATATACGTCCATTTTCTTACAAAAAAAATACCTAATGTAAAAGACTACGTATATGTAAAAATATATTAGTTAGATTTATATGGAGAATTATTATTGTTAAGAATTTTGATTGGAAGAAAGATATCTTGAATAATAAAATAATTTCCTTAAAGAACCTGCATAAAAATGGAAAGTAAAATGGACGGGAAATTTTTAACCAGGAGATGGCATGTGTCATTATTGGTTTCACTTTTAGTATATATACTGGTTATATTCTCGTGATTTTACTAAATTATATAGTGAAGCAAAACATTAATTCCCGTGCAATAGATGCACGGTTGTTCAATACGGAGTGATTATAATACAACAATTATAAAACGACATAGAAAAAAATAAGGACTCGACACCAATTATTAGAAAGTATGAAGTATATAAATAAAAATAACCACATATAATAGTTATAATGAACAATTTAATATTTTAGAAAGTTTAGTTTAGATTTTATGTAAAGCAAATCTCATTATTTAGATACAATGATCCTTCATTATGATAAGATTTTTTTTTTTTAAAGCAAATACTTTTGGAGGAAAAATACTCAATACAATGCTACCAAGTGTCATTTTAGGTTTGCCTATATATATATATTGATAGAATCTTATGATTGATAATATTATGTATACAATAGAATCAATTACACTTAGAAATAAGCAACACATTAAACACTAACCAAAATATTGTGTCAATCCTTTCTAAAAAAAAAAAAAAAATTGCGCTAATCATAAGATTTATATTCATAGTTTATCACACATATTATGTACTACCTCCGTTACATATTAGTGGCAACTTTGAAATATTTTATGTCTCACAAATAATATCCCAAAGTTGCAACTAATATGTAACGGAGGTATTAATATAATCTTATGATTGATAATATTAAGTAAAAGAATCACACATATATAAAATATACTAAAATATTAATTATTTTGTTAAAATTTATCTATTTATATTCTATACATATATTTATATAAATAATAATTAAATAAAGTAATAATGAAAGTGGCGGGAAAATTATTAATGACATCGTGACAAGTGTCATTTTAGGTTGGCTTTTAGTATAGGTTAATTGATTGATGTCATAAGTAACTGCGTAATTTTATACAATGTCTAGGAAATACCACTTTAAAGAAGCAATTTTAGGGTATAACAACTATCTCAAGTAGTAGCAATTTTGTCTGTAATTATTATAATTTTACCCCTTGATAAACGAAACATATCATGTTTATCAATGAGATAAACTAGGGCTCCCTCATAGAGTAACTAGTGTGCAACTAATTTTCTTCTCAAGTTGTAAGTTATGCAGAGTAACTTGTAATCATATACAAGTAATAGATAGTTAGATAGATATGGGTGAATTTTTCCTTAATTTATAAGTTGTGACTATTTTACAAATATAACCAAATTTACGGATAATTGTAGCTTTATTCACAGAGTTTATATAGTCAATCAATAAAAGAGAGTAATTTTAAAAGTGTGTAAAAAGGGAATTTATTCATGGGGTTAGATACATATTATTAAAATACTCAATTGATCCATAGAATAAAAACTCGCCCGTTACATCGCGATGCGACCGAGATGTTATGGATGTGAAGGTTGTCGTTACGAGATTTACCGGTTTGTAACGGAGTTTTAAAAAATCCTGCATTTTCGACCGATACGACCGCTACACGGCTGAAACGCCCGGAAAAAAAAAACAAAGCTTGAAGGGGTGTAGCAAGCCATAGCAACCGCATCATAGAGAAATAGAGAGAGAAAGAAGAAGAAATTAAAGTAAAAAGGTGGAGGGGTTGAGGGCTGATAAGAACGAGATAAAAATATGCGGTAAGTGGGACAACTGGGTTGGGACAACTGTATGATGCCCCCACTTTGGTTTTATTTTATATTTGACTTTTTGACCACTCAACCTCTTTTTTTTTTTTTTAACTAGTTTTTGAGCCCGTTCTACCGGCTATGTATAAGTTATTAATTTACTAAAAACATTCAAATTAAAAGTATTAAATTGCATGATAGTTATATAATACCTTGTATCAAATAATTGAAGAACAATCCCTTTTCATAATTTTACATTTGTAAATCAATATATGAAATTACAAAGTTTTTCTTCACCAATTTATTTTTCTTGCACACTTAATATCTTGAAATTATTTTTTATTACATGCAAGCAATTTCGTATAATGAAATTAGTTCCTAAGTTCTTACACCAAACACTTTTTTTTTTTTTTTATCATTCATATCTTATTTGCCGCTTCATTTTATCTCATTTTCAATCATGATATTCATCGTTGCAACAATTTTATATATATATATATATATATATATATATATATATATATATATATATATATATATATATATATATATATATATATATATATTTGGTGGTTTGGGTGATATGAAAGAAATTTATTAGAAATTTATATTAGGAGAAGATGATTTAGGGTCAATAAATAAATGGCAAATTTAGTTAAAATGAAATTTAAAGACGGAGAGAGTGAAAGAGGAAGAGGAAGAGGCCGGATAACATTAAGAGAATTCAATTTATTGTATTAAAGTGAAGGTTATAGAAATAAAAAGTCTAGAAAAGAAAAAAAATAGTAAAGAAAGTTAGAAGGAGAGGGGTACATGTGGCGGATTGGTTTGTATTTTGGTTAAAAAGAGAGGTGTATATGTGGCGGATTGGTTTGTATCTATTAACTATTACTAAAACAAAACATGCTGACATCATTAAGGGATACATGTCAACTTCTGATGAAAAAATTTCTCGTCTAAACTATTTTTGATATCATTTTTTTCTCTATTTATTTACTTCTAAGTTTCAAGACTAAAAAAATACAATACTTCTTTCAAAATTAATTAATGAGATTACACTTTTTTCTAATAAAGAATATTGACAACCATTTTAAACAAATAATAGCTATTTAATCCATGCAACGCACGGGACTAAACTAGTTTTGGTTTAAAAGAGAGGTGTACATGTGGCGGATTGGTTTGTGTTTTTAAATACTAAGTATAGATTTTTTTATTTGAAAGAAAATTGTTAGACTACCTCAGTATTGTAATTACTACATACTTGTACTACATTACTTTTCAATCTCTTATTATTATAATTATTATTTTATAATAAATTCAATTTAAATCTATTGGATAAGAAAATATCTATTTAAAAATTTAAATAAGTTATCTCTAAAAATATTTTTTAAATTTCTACCGCAATGACCACAACCCGGTCCACGATCAACGCATCGTATCTGTACCGCAACATCGCGACCGTACCGCATTTTTATTTTTATTCTATGTTTGATTAATTGGATGAAAGACAATACCTATTTTTCCTTGAAATATATATAAAAATAATTACTCTCTACGTAGTCAAATGCGTACTTTTAAAATACGTTGTACATATTTAGCTAATTGACTCTATTTTGATAATCCATGTTTTTATTATAATAAAAATGTGCATGATGTTTAGAAGAAAACAAATATATTTTGATAGTTTAATTCACAATATTACTAGACAATTTTTTTACACTAATTAATTTTCTCCTCAAGTTGTAAGTTATACGAAGTAGTTTAACTCGTAACCATCTAATAGATGTGGGTGACTTTCTTAGCCGTTTATACATTACATTGTGACATAGATATAGTCCATATGGACTATATCCAATGAACACTTGATATGAATCTAATACGGCAAAGATCCTCTTACATGATCACACATCATCATTATGAAAATTATATGCTGGAATATACGAGGTGGGAAAAAGCCTGAGGCTTTGGCTAAACTAATAATTTTAAAAAATAAACATAAGCCAGACATAATCTTTGTCTTGGAAACAATGACGAACACTGCTAATAGTAAAAGAATATTAAAATCTCTACATTTTGATCACACGTTTATTATTAAACCAAATGGTCATTCTGATGGCATTTGGGTGTGTTGGAATGTTGATAAAATCAGTATTAATCAAACTACTTTGACGAAAAGGTGTGCCCACTTAAATATTATTTTTAAACCTCTAAACTGCGAATTGTTAATAAGTGGCATTTATGGTCCAGCCCAAGAGTCTGTTAGAAATGATTTTTGGGAGTACCTTGATTCTTTTAGCTCAAATATTACTATGCCTTGGATTATTCTAGGAGACTTTGATGAAATGTTGTGTGTAAATGATAAAATCGGTCAAAGACCGATTCTTCCTCACTAATTACAACGCCTACCTAATTTTATAGCAAATACTAATGCAATAGACATTCCTAGTACCCAAAATTCGTTTTCATGGAAGCAATGCGTCAATAACAGAGTTATATATGAAAAACTAGATAGAGCGATTTGTAGTAATGATTCCTTCGAACTTTCCCGAAAAGTCAAATAAAATTTGATGTCTTTACAATATCATATCATGCTTCTCTAATTTATGATTCTCATTATCATGATCAAATTATGACCTATTGACCCTTTCGATTCCAATACCATTGGACACTGGAGGCCGATGCTCTTGCAATCGTGAAAAAAACGTGGCCATTACCAATTCGGGGATCAAGATTCTACAAAATTCAACAAAAATTGTCCCGTACAAAGGTCGAATTAAAACAATGGCCATAAAAAAGATATGGAAACAATAATAATAAGCTCATACTTAATGCAGAAAAAATAAAGGACCTCGAAAAAGCGTTATGCATATAACCCTTTAACCCGATTTTAGTAAGTCATATGAATAGAATGTAACGCCAAAGAGAAAAACTTCTACTCTTTGGCCAACGACATTGGGGTGCCCTTTCTAGGAAAAATTGGCTTACGCAAGGTGATAGAAATACAAGATTCTTTCATAATAAAATGCGTAAAAGGATAGCTCTTAATACAATTTACAGATTAAAAAATACAGATGACATTTGGGTAGAATCTAGGGAGGAAATCCACAATCTTCTCCTAGAATCCTTCAAATATAGATTCAGTTCTAATTCACCTACTAGTCGACAAATTGATCTTTCGTTCATCGAACCAATTGTTTCACCAGATGATTGCAACACCCTCCTCAGCCCAATCTCTAAGGAAGAAATAAAAAGGGCATTTTTTGTTATGATGAATCCAAATAAATCCCCTAGATCACATGGCTTTGGGGCTAAATTTTTTCAAGCCTATTGGCCAATAGTTGAGAACGACATCAATATAGCGATTCAGAGTTTGTTTTTGCATGGGCAGCTTCCTCCCTTTGTGAACCACACTATTATTACCTTAATACCGAAGGTAGATAGCCCAGAAACCCCAAATCATTTCCGGCCAATTAGCCTAGTAAACACAATCTACAAAGCTATATCAAAAATCATGGTTAATCGTCTATGTACAATCCTAAAGAAATCGGTTAGCCCCTTACAAAATGCTTTTACCCCCGAGCGCTCAATACACGACAACATCCTTATAGTGCAAGAAATACTTAACACCTTCCATAAATCAAAAAATAAGACGGGTTGGTGTGCACTAAAACTGGACATGGAAAAATCATATGATAGGATTGAATGAGATTTTTTGTGGGAAACCCTCAAATGTTTTGGATTCCCCTCGAAATGGATTCATTGGATCCAGGAATGTGTCACAAAAGTGTCATATTCTCTCAAAATCAATGGAGAAATTACAGAATGGTTCAAGCCTTCAAGGGGGTTAAGACAAGGGGACCCCCCCCCCTCTCCGTATTTTTTCATCTTATGCATGGAAGTTCTAATTAGAAAATTATCCCTAGAAAGCCAAAAATATAAATCAGGGATCGGGTTCAAAATTGCTCCTCGCTCATTTAATATTCCATGTCTCCTTTTTGCAGATGACAACTTAGTTTTATGTAAAGCTACAACGTCGGCTTGTAATAATTTAAAGAGATTACTAAATGAATTCTGCTCCTCCTCTGGTCAACTATTAGTCGTCGCAGTGCCCTTGCAGCCCATTTCAACATGACTCCCAAGTCCTCTCTCGGAAGATATTTAGGGGTCTTTTTTAGCTCTTATTACCCTATGAAAAAAGATTTTAAGAGAGTGCTTGATAGCACCCAACAACGAATAAGCTTTTGGGAAGCAAATTACCTCTCTAAAGCGGGTTGCCACACTTTAATCCAAAGTAATTTAGAATCCCTTCCATCCTACATTTTCTCTTCATCTCTTCTTCCCGCTGATATTGCAAAAAATCTAGACTCCCTCCATAGAAATTTCTTTTGGAGGCAGCAAAAAGAAAAAAATGGTACCCCTCTAATAGCATGGAATAAAGTTTGCAAACCCAAGAACCACGACGGCCTAGGTTTAAGGCGAACCCTTCCCTTAAATAAAGCATTCCTCGCTAAGTTAGGATGGAAGATTCTATTAGACCCTACTAATCTTTAGGTTAAACTTATAAAAGAGAAATATCTCCATAGCTCCTCATTTTTTGACCATCATCTTCAGCCTAAAGACTCACATATATGGAAAACCATTCTCGCGCAGAGGGAAATTATGCGCAAAGGGCAATCGTTGGAAAATCGGTGATGGCAATGACATTTACTTTTGGCTAGACAACTGGATGACAAACAAGAGCCTCCTAGAAACCTTAGAGTTACAAGGCCACCAAGTCAACATTAACTTAAGGGTTGCAGACTTTATTCTCCTCGATCGAAATTGGAATAAACATAAGCTTTGTTCTTTATTACCAAACTATATTGTACAACTAATCATAGGCATCCCCTTACCTAACTCTCAAATGACTTGACACACCAGTATGGGGCCCTACGCCTTCGGGAAATTTTTCAGTAAAATCGGCTACATGGATAGCACATGATTTAGAGCCAAATGCTTACAATGGCCGCATCGTTGGATATGAAAATTAGACATCCCGCCTAAACTCCAAATCTTCTTATGGCAAATAATGCATAATAGTCTTGGAGTTTGAGACACCCTTTATAAAAGAACGATTATTCCTTTCAATCATTGCACCTTTTGTTCCGCCTATCCGGAATCTCACGACCACTTATTTCTTACTTGTGATAAGGCCAAAGACATTTGGAACCACACTTTAACCCAAAACTGGTTGCCTGGTGCACTTTCACCCACAGACTTGATAACGACATTATCTACGCTTTGGAAAAACAACTCCTCCCTCCAAAAATTTATCTTCCTTTTATGGAGTGTCTGGAAAGAACGAAACTCTATTATTTTCAAGAATGAGACTTTTAGCATCCCTAGAACCTTCCACCAAACGCAATTTGCGTTCAAAGAGTGGAATTATCGCATTCTCATAAATACCTCTTTAAGCTCGGGGTCTCCAATGCAGAGATCCCAAACCCATCATCTACCTCACCCAAACCACCCCAACCCACAATTGGTTACATGGGAGGCTCCTCTTCTCAACTCTTTCAAACTCAACTTCGACGGTTCGGTAAAAAACACCTCAACAGCAGGAGGAGTCATCATCAGAAGGTACACCCATTGCAGCACAAACTTTCAACCTTGGAACCACCAACATCTTCGTAGCTGAAGCTTTTGGTCTCCACAAGGGAATCATCCTCGCCCTCCAACAAGGAATACAAAATCTTCACATTGAAGGGGACAACCTCCTTGTTGTCAACGCAGTGAACGATATTTGGTCGAACCCGTGGCAAATTGATCACATTATAGAAGATATCAAGATCCTACTTCGCAGATTCCCCCATTGGGAACTTCGGCATGTCTACAGAGAAGCAAATAGAGCAGCAGATTGGATTGCACATGTTGGGCATCTTATCACCGACAAATTGGATATTTCATTTTGTACCTCTTCAACTTTATACCCCATTCTCACCTCAGATGCTTTAGGATTGCCCCTCGTGAGGAGGGGGTCCTAATTCTTTCCTTTTTTCTTACCTTAAAAATAAAAAAATAAAAAAATAAAAACAACGAACACTTGATACATACTTCATTTTAGACCAAAATTATACTTGTATTTCATTACAGAGTACATTATGCGTAGTAGTCAAGACCAAACGTAACCAATTAATGACACTTCAATGTGTGAGTTGTGACACCAACTCCAGAATCCAAAAAACTCAGATTAATTTACACATCTTGTATGAATAAATATTTTCATTTACCCCTACTTTCGTACAGTCAGTAAAAAGCACTGTAAACATTAAAAATGAAATAAAAAAAGAAACTAGAAATGAAATAAAGATGGTAAGTAATCTGATATCTACGGAACCATACGGCATGTCTATTTAAACTTTAAAGCACCCTTTCTTCTTTTATTACACTTTGTTCTTTTCTTCAATTCATATCTATGCTCTTTACTTCTTTACTCCCTTAAAACTCTGTTTTATTAATGTCATACTCAAAGCTACCCTTAAACTAGCTAGCTTCATTTACACTCAATAAGAGTTGTTCAATGGCTTTTCATGTGTATCATCAAACTTTTCTTTTATTTTTTCTTCTTCACACATTTTTCTTTCAGTATAACTCTTGTTCATGTTATGCTCAGATTTCTGAACTTAATGATCAGAAGGTTGATTTAACTTTGTATTACGAGACACTTTGCCCGTATTGTTCCTACTTTATTGCTCATGATTTGGTAAATCTCTTCTCTAATGGCCTCATTTCCATAGTCAATCTTAGGTTGGTTCCTTGGGGTAATGCTGCTGTTGAGCCTTCTGGCTATTTCCAATGTCAGGTACGACTATGTTACATTGCTTTATTTTGAATTACGTAAGAAAATTACATGTTATGATACCATCCAATCCTTGTGAGGGCCGAGGGGAATACTTAAAGAGTCTCATTTAGGTATATTTATGCGCGTATAGAATCAATAGATCGTAGTAAAATTTTCTTTAAATTACATTCATTATTGTGGATTTCTTATTTAATTTCAAACTTAAAAGAGTGCTTAATCCTTTTGTTGCAGCATGGATCAGGAGAGTGTTTGCTGAATGCTGTTGAAGCTTGTACCATTGATTCTTATCCTGATATTGTAAGCCCTCTGTTACTCTTATAAATAATAAATAAACAAACAAATAAATAAAATTAAATTAAATGAAAAGGTTGGTAATTTCAATTGTATAGCAATTATTTCAAGACGTCTCAAAATAGTTTATGTAACTATAAAGTTTAAACGGGCAAGTGCATTATAACTCGCACATTATTTGCACCGTCCAAGTGTTCAAATCACTGACATGAAAGGCATGTGTTTCTTTTTCCATAGATTGCATGAGCCAAGATATTGGTTGTATTTATCTTGTGAAATGTGGAGTTCGGGTCAGAGAGCAAGTGGAAGTGGAAGGTTCTAAGATTGTGCAAAACTAGAACTGCAATGATATGAAGGATGGCGGCAGAATTCATTGATTAAATTGTCAATACCCTCAATAGTAGGAAAAGGATTTATTAGCAAAAAAATGACATGAATAAATTTGTTTTTGTTTCAGTACAAGCACTACTTCTTGATCCAATGCATTGAGAGTCTAGCTTATCAGCAAAGAGAAGCGGAGTGGCAAAGTTGCTTTGATAAAGTATCACTTGATTCCAAGCCTATCTTTGACTGCTACAATCAAGGAAATGGTCGAATGGTCAGTTACTCAGCTCGACAGTTCCTATTTGATTGGAATAAACTGTCTAAAATATAATATTTAGCATGTTAAATGATTCTGCAGCTTGAAGTACAGTATGCATATGAAACTAGTCAGCTAAACCCACCTCACGAATACGTGCCATGGGTGCTTGTCAACAATCAGCCACTCCGTGAGGTGTAACTCTCTCCCTCTCTTTCTCGCATGCTCTGTCTTGCTCTCAAGTATGTGTAGTCTAATGTGGGTGGTTGCAGGACTACCAAAATTTCATCACGTACATCTGCAAAGCATACAGAGGCACGTCAATTCCTGCAGCTTGTAGTTCGGCAGAGTTCATGATCAGCTCGTTTGGTGACAAAGCAATGGATATATCTCAACAGGTGTGCTATGTAGGAGGCCAGCTGAACTTGACCTCATTTGTGCCAACTGAAATTCTTCAGCAGAATAGAGAAGTATTCAACTGAAAAGCCAAAATGAAGCACCAAGTTTCAACAGTTTTTATCTTTCAAAAGGCAAAAGGCATAAAGGCCTGGCCTAGTAGTGAGCTTAGCTTGTGACGCATCCCATATATTAGCTGATTTGAAGCATCAGCTAATGCAGAAAACACGCATGTTTGTGAATTCTATTGCAAATTTCCAATCAAAAGTTCTATTAATTGGCTTCACTATATATGTACAAATCTCTTCGAACGACTAAGAACAGAAAATTGACACCACAGCAGTTTACATACAACCTTGAATCCTGTAACAACCCTCAGCTCCATGTCAACAACATTAAATTTCTAATGATAAAATCACGGCCTGAAAAGAAAATCTTAATCAATAATCTCCTTTTAAAGGCATATAATAAATACAGCATAAGATCCATACTAATAAATTGATAAGAATGCTCCATATAACAAAAATATACAGAGAAGCTAGTCCCACTACAAGAAAAACAAAAATTTGCAAAATGGTACAATCATACATATAACACAGTCACATGAATAGTTATAGGTTTATCATCTTCCATGTCTTGTTGCATATATCAAAGGCATCTTCCTGCAGTGGATCAAATTCAAACTTCTCCACTGCCTTTTTATCACGATCTATGATATCTGGAAACCAGATCAAGGTGTAACAAATTTGGCAAAACAAGATGGCACACGTACACGCGCACACACACGGAGAGAAGCATAAAATTATGTTGAGAGCAAAGACCAGGGGAGGAATAAGCAGAAAATACACAATAATAATATCCAAGATGTAGTTTGTTATTAAAAGAGGGGGGGGGGGTAGAGAAAAGGATACGCCCAGAAATTTTTGATGGATTCTCCAGATCTGGAATAATCTTTGTGACAGATGCATAAAATGAAAGTTTCCTCCTGCAATATCATATGATTCTTATGTCAAGAACAGAGTAATTTAGTTGTAATCAAGACATAGAAAGCAAATTATCCATTCAACTGGAAAAAAAATATATAGCATGTTTGTACAATAAACAAAATCTTCTCGAACAAGCATTCATACATTTTAATCCGCATTTATAAAATTGCTCTTCCTTGGAAACGGTATGACTACTACTGTTCCAACTTTTGTTTTAATTACTACCATATGCAAGAAAGTCAGGCAAAGCATTTACCCAGTATTAGAAATTGTGTTTCCGAGCTCAACATAGCTCGACAGAAAACCAGCAAAGTCTATTTCTTAAGCCATGAAAACTACTCCATAACTACTTGATGGGTTTGTACCTCTCTATGTACAAAAATATCCAATAAAATAACTTTCAAACAAGCAATATATCAGAACTGTGAAAGACAGCTGATCACTCAAATCCTATAAAATTAAAGGATAAATACTCTAATATCTCTTTCACTCATGAAAGACCCAGTAATTTTCAGCCTATATTACCTTGAGCCTCTCTACTAGCTTCAAACTTCCAATAACTAAATGGAGAAGAATATTACGCAAAGACTCAACAATGCAGTAAAGAGCATGCATGGACAAAAGTGATCAAATAGAACTTCAAAACACAATATCTATGATGAAAATTCCAATCACCAATATGTAGATCATTAAGGTTTTAAGAAAATAATTTTTACAAAAGGTGTATTCTCTTGTAATCTTTAAACCTTACTGCCAACAAAATGCATCAGTAGACCATAGTGAATATAATGACTAGTCAGATGTGACTTCAATAATCTTTGCCACAAAGTTTGAAAATGAAATGCAAGCATATACACAATGTTCACTTTCATAGCATGTTATAATACTCATATGGAGTTACTTTTGAGAACTGTTACAAACTTGTTGTAACACACTAACACCCCAATTCTCTATTTCCAAATAATCAAGCATTCCAAAAAGTAAAGTACAATCAGGGAATACATAACAATAAAAGTTAACTAGAACTTTGTCAAGCACACTAGCATACAATTAATTAAACAAACATTAAAGTCATACTAAGCCATCACATAATTGCATGTTACATGTTTTAATCCTTAATCATGGTACGTGGCGGTGACACGTTAGTAATTCTCTTGTATTTTATTTAATGTATTTATTTGGGAAAGGGAGAATTATTGGGGTGTTACACTTGTGTCACATTATTCTATTATACTTACTGTTCTTTCTCATGTTCGTCTTCAAGTTTCTTCAGCCTCTGACTCTGCTCCTCTAACGAAAGCCGTTGATGGTCTAGCTCATTAATCTTGTCAACAATTACTGTGTTCATACAACAAATAACTCAGTTTGAAGAACAGAGAACCAACATATGACCAGCAAATATAACTGACAAAACAGAATACTTATCTAAGATCCTCTCGAAGCAGCTTCTCTCTTTTGAGTTCCTCATCAAGCTCTTTCTGAAGGCGCTCTAATTCTTCATTGGAAACCACTTCAGATCGTGCCACTTCTATCTTGTGCTTGCAATCATCAATCTTATCCTGATAATCTATGGAAAATGTGAACGTGATTAAAATAACTAACAACTTCATCGAGGTGGCAGTAGGCACCAATACAATCATAAGCAAATTTAAAGCACTATACTAAGACATACATACACGGCACTTCTTACTGTAATATACACATATATCCTTACTTAAAGGAAACTTCTTTCTATGTATGCTTAAAAGTAGATAGAGCATACAAAAATTTCTCAACAAGGGAAATTGAATGGCATCAACATTAGACAATGAGAAATTCACCTCTAACATGACTTAAAAAAGAAGCATATATTTTTTGAAGAGCATGACTAGTAATCAAATAAATGGTTACCAAAAAATGGCTGGACGGTATAAATATCTGAAATCGGGCAAATAGTGCTAGTATGGTACCCTACATCCTTCTTGGATAGAAGATTAACATGACAAGATTGAATATGTTGTCTTGTCTCCTACATCCTTTTTGGACACCATTCAAGTGATCAAGAGTACTTCATCCTTCAGTGCAACCAAGAACATCCTTTTCATATTGAAACCTGCTATCTCTAATTTTATGCTAGAACTTCCAAAGAAATTAACACCCTTGAACTTAAGGCAATTTGCAAGTCACAATTCAGAGCTCATTTGTCCAGTGGTATTGTGAGCAGTGATGGTAGTCGATGTGGTAAAATTGATTGTCCTTTGCTAGTGACAATTAATATAGGGATAACATAAATACAAAATGCTGCTCACAAATGAGAGGGATATGGCATTACAAACTCAGGCCTTAAGATTTAAAATTCGCTCACAAAATAAGCTATATTGAGGCACTTGGTTTTATGTGATACTGCATACAATGCTTTATGTGATGATTAGCACTCCTCGTATTCCTGTCCATCCTATACTTTCTCTCAAACTGTAATGCTGTTTGGTTAAGATCAAATCACACAGGAGATACCACTTTCTAGGGAGCCATTTGGTTGACAAAAATTAAAGTTTCATCCTAGGATTTTCTATTTCCTACAAAATGAGAGAATTCGATTACCTATTCCTTCCAAGGTAAGTAGAATTTCCCACGGTAAATTCAACTTCTTACAATCAACCAAATTGTTTTCGATACGACCTCCATGGGAATCAAAATTCCCACAAAGTGTTACTCGTATTTCTTATGTGCAACCAAACGACCATTGAGTTATTAGTTGGACTCGCCCACAAGTTTAGCAGTACAAAGAATGACAAGTTTACATTAAGTTTATAGTTTATACACCTTTCCATAAACATTATACTCAGGCAATCATCTCATACAGAATAATTTTCCAACCAAATTACACTACATATATAGTATCTTCCCTCACCCAATCAGTTCAAACAACCCCAACTCAAACAATCCACTAATTCAAGCATAATTAGTGCACCCCAAAATCCATCTTTGGTTTTAAAAATCAATTCTCTAAAATAACAAATTTCCAATTTTTCGTCTGCTAAACAATGCAATCCCATATACAATTGTACATAAAACAAAGTTAAAAAGAGGGGGGGTGGGGGGGGGGAACCTGAAATGGCGATCTGGGTAGTGTTGAAATCAGAGTCAGAAGATGATTGAATAGATTTGGATTGTTGAACGCATTGGGTTAACAAATTGAAGTCTCTCTTATCTCTGAGAACACCAACGAGGTCGTCGCAGTAAGATAATAACTGATTGATATCGATTTGCGGCGAATTATCGACCATTTTTCTAGGGTTTTGGGGGTTGAAGAAGAAAATTCAACAAGGGTTAAGGTTGATTATCAGAAAGAAAGAAAAGGGTTTATGCTTTTTAGTTGTATAAAAGGAGCAAGAGAGTAGGAATTGATAAGGTTGATAATTTCAAAATGAAAGTTGGCGCCCAGTCCACTCCGAAGAGTCCGAACACCACTCTACCGTCCAGGATCGGTGGGAAATGGGAGGTTTTTCTAATGCGAGAGTACGGAGTAACGGGGAGTGTCTCACAACGGCATTTTCGCAAATAAGAGGAAAATGAAGTAAAACGGGGTGGTTTTTAGAGGGAAAACAAAATAGTATAGTAAAAATGAAAACGGGGTGGTCCCAAAAGAAGGATAGTGATATTTTGTAACTTTAGGGGAAAAGTAAAAAAGTAAGTGGAAAAGGGAAAAAATTCATTCCATCCACTTGCTTTGTAAATGTCGAAGGGAAGAACCATGAAAAATTGAAAACACCATGAAAGTAAGTTGAAAACATTGGGAAAGAGGGCAAAAAATAATCGTCATAGCTGTTTTTAATAAATGGAGGGTGTTGCTAACGACAGATGTGTCGTTAGTGACACTGGTAATGATAATGGCGCAGTACTTGATTTGGTGAAGCATGGAGGTGACAGCAGCCGACGACATGGAGCTGAGTACGAAGAGGATGGTGCGGCGTTGCAGGCGTTGTTGAAAGGGCTAAGTATAAAAATTTTGCCTTTAAAAGAAAAATGGGTAAGTTAGGGTTTACTCAGAGCACCCACAAATTGAGAAATTGTTGTTGATTGCCCTGTGGAACCAATATAGGAATCAGATGACCATGAAAATAGGAATAAGAATGTGGTAATTTATATGGAATTATTGTTTAATTCATGCTGAATTACAATTTGAGTAATTATTTACTGTGAATTATTGTGTGTATTAGATGTTTAATTAGAATTCTAGTAAATATGTTAAATGAAATGTATATGTAAGAGTAGGAGACTGAAATTTGTGAAATGGTGGCTAAAGTATGAAATAGGGGGAAATTTTAGTTAATGTTACTATTTACCAGGGAATTAGTTGTTGTATGTGTTTTCATTGATGAAATGTGGTTGTTGGTGCATTCAGTTAGTTGATAAATGTTTGGTGAACAATGAAAAGTTGTTGGTTTTGCTTAGTTTTCATGTTATTTGGTTATGGTTATTGTTTTTGTTTTTGTTTTTTATCCAAGGTTGTGATTGGTGAAGAGTCTTATAAGACTCCAAAAAAAGGCTTTAGTAGTGTGGCTATTTCAGTTGAGATAGAAGAGTATGTTGAAGTGGATGTTGGTCTTCCTCCTCCTGCATTTGGAATGGTTTTTCAGTCATGGCAGGAACTTGATGAATATTTTAGGGAATACGGGAAACAAAATGGATTTGGGGTAGTTCGTACTAGTGCTTGCAAAGTAGGAAAAGGCCCTAATGCAAAAATGAGAAGGAATTGTTTGTGGACATGTGAGTGCTATGGGTTGCCTGATAGGAAGCGTACGAAGGTGGAGGAGAGTTTAGTGACTGATGCTCAAATTGTTGAGGAGGAGGAGTGCGCTGTGAAGAGGGGGAGTAAGAAAGTTGAATGTCCAGTGAATATATATGCTAATGTTAATGAACGTGGCGAATGGGTTATTCAGAGGGTGAACCTTGAGCATGGTGGACACACCCCCACTCCAGGCAAGGCTAAGAATATAAGTAGGTTGAGGAAAAAGTTTCTGGTGGAGAATCCTCATGTTGTCAGGCAGCTTTTCAATGACAGGAGGTTCGGGGTTCCCGTGTCACAAATCTATAATTGTATGGCTAGGGACCGTAATAGGTTGGAGAACATGCCCTTTGCTCAGAAGGATCTTCATGAAGAAGTGGCAAAGCAGAAGAAAAAAATATTTGATGAAGGTGATGCTAAAGCAATGTTTGCTTATTTCCAGACAATGGTTGAAGATAACTCAAATTTTTTCTACACCTATCGAGTAGACAAAGAGGGTAGGTTGAAGGATGTACTTTGGGTAGATGTAAGGAGTCGGGCTGTCTATGAAGAGTTTGGCGATGTAGTGTGTTTTGATTTCACCTACTTGACTAATGAATATAAGCTACTGTTTTGCAACTTTGTTGAAGTGAACCATCATGGTCAAACTATTCTATTTAGGTGTGCGCTTGTTAGTAGGGAGACTGCTGAAACATTTGAGTGGGTATATAGCAATTGGTTGAGGTGTATGGAAAACAAAACCCCTCTTGCAATACTTACCGATTAAGACCTTGACACGAGGAAAGCTCTGAAGGCCACAATGAAAGGCGCCACACACAGATGGTGTATTTGGCACATCCTGCAAAAATTTTCAACAAGGTTAGGAAAGCATTCTAACTACCCCGAGTTGAAGGAAGACCTTGATAGTGTTGTGTATGATAGTTTGGATTGTGAAGAGTTCGAAAGACGGTGGCCAGAAGTGATCAAGAAACACAAAGTTGAAACGGACTACTGGCTGGAAGGTCAGATGATGTATTTTCAATGTATTTTAATTTTATTTTGTTTTACCAGTAACATTAACAGTGACATTTATAAAGTGATCTTGCATAAAACGGTTGCTTATTATTTTAAGTTTGGATATGTTGTTTGTAAGCATTTCAGATTTTGCTAATTTATTGAATTGAGTTATTTGTGTTGTTGTGTGTGTAAGTGTTGTTGTGTGTGCAAGTGGATTATGTTTTGATAATTTACCTGATATGAGTTTATGATACTTTATAATGGATAGGCCTGTTTATCGAACGTCATATATGGGTACCTGCGTTCGTGAAGCATATGTTTTGGGTCGGCATGAGAACAACCCAGAGGATTGAGAGTATACATAGCTTTTTTTATGGTTATTTAAGGAAGCACACACTGCTTAGTGAATTTGTGGAGAGATATTGTGAAGCGTTGGAGGTTAGAGCTATTAGTGAGAAACGAGCCGATGATAATAATTCTAGATTTGTTAGGCAACCCACGACAGCGTTCCCTGCCGAGTCTGTTTTACGGAAAATCTACACAGATGCCAAATTTAAAGAGGTACAAAGGGAGTGCAGTAGGATGCTATATGTGACCAATTTGGACAAGAGGCAAATATCTGATACACTGAATGAACACTCACTTGAGGATTATGTTTGGTACAAACCAAAGAACTCAAGGAAAGAAGTACCGTCGAAGAGGAAATGGGTGTACACAAGGTTACGTGCAATAGCAGCACCAAAGAAGCAAATTGTGAATGCAGGTACTTTGACTGCCATGGCATCATCTGTCGGCATATGATTATGGTGTATCAAATGAACGACTGTGGAGAAATTCCTGAGAATTACATATTACGTCAGTGGAGGAAAGATGTTATTAGGAAGCACACTAGGATGAAAGTTAAGTACCATGATCCAAACAAGACGGAGGTGGTCTGTAGGTTTGATAAGATGATGGTGGAGTTCTCTCCCATTTGTTCTAAGACATCGGTTTGCAAAAGTGCGTCGGATGTTGTATTGAACGGTCTGTAGTTGCTTGATATCCAAGTAGAAGAGAAATTGTCTATGCTTATCCGGAACAGATCGGACCTTTTGGGGTGTAATGGCACACTTCCTCTGTGTGCCTGTAAAAGGAGGGTACACCACCAACCACTGAAAAGCAAGGCAGCTGTGCCCAGAATTTGTCTCTACAACTTGCTAACATAAAGGACCTGCCAATTCCGAAGAAACCTCCTCACCGTACAACTGATTCCCGATATGTCATGTGTTGAAAAATCGAAGAAACCTGGTAAGAGGAGTTATGGGAACCAAGGTACATCTGTTGCTGGTAAGAGTCAAAACAGCCGACAATTGTTTTGTTCTCAGGTAGTTGATTGTTGTTATTACAAGTAACTGATTAGTGTTGTTTGTTTTAAGAGATAAGTGCTTGGTTATTGATTTATGATATGTTATTAACATACTGGGACTTAATTAATAGTGGTAAGAACAAGTACCATTTCCAATGATGGGTTACAAATGATAGATGTTGATGGCTCGTCGGGTTATTTTACCTCATTGTCCGGAGTGCAGCGTCCTCCATTTTCTGGCAGACTTTCAATCTCTTTATTAAGATGGCCTCATCCTGTTTACCCGCCTCATTTCCTGTCGTACCAACAGTTTTGTCAAATGCAAGGATTCCCGATGTAAATGGGCGGTTACATGTCTCCTAATACGACTGTTTCTCAGTCCCTATATGTGATGAGGCCTGCAACTCCGGCAACTATAACTTAAAATCCTAACTTTTCTCTGTGAAACCAAAGAGGAGCTTAGCAATGCAGGCGAGAGAGAATGTCGCCCCTGTTCATGGAGCACCCTTTTTTGTAGTTTTATTAGGTTCTGGGTTCTAATCTGCTCTTTTGGGGACTTAAAATCTTTATGTAGCGTAGACCTAACACCTAACCTCACCGGAAGCGAAGAGCACCCCTTTTGTTTTAATGGGGTTTAAAGTTGAAGATGTAAAGCTGATATATAGGCCCATTTTTTGTACAGAAATGCTTATTGATATCTTCTGGAAATATGTAATTATGAAGGTGGGTTTATTTTGAAAACAACTATGATTCCTTTTGAAATGAACTATGATTAAAATGGTGAAAATGGTGTAGCCTTCAAATATATTTGCCTAAAAACCCTATTGCAGGTTTGAGTTAGGTGTTTACACTTTCGACTATAATTGTGAGCAAATGTACTTTACCCTTTATATCCCTCAGTTGGATGTAAATTAATGACAGAGGTATCCATATCAATTTTAGTTAACAATTGAAATCCCTCAGTCGTATGGTTATTACTGTTTCACTATGGTTATTGAAGAACTTATCGGGACGATTTCATCCTGTCATTGGTTTTGTTTATGTTTGGGTATATCCTTTATGGCTTTTAATTTTAATATCCTTGTTGTCAATTAATAAACCCAATAACGCTTTCTTTGGTTTGTTTTGGTACAACGTTTTCTCAGTACCCTGATCTACAATTGTAGTGAAACCCCCTTTGTGTTGAGGTGTGCCTCATCATATTTCAAAGGTACTTGCTTTTAACCTCTGTGAGTAAGTATTCTATGTTCCATAGTTACATAACCACTAAATGTGATTGAGCCACTACATCATTGTAATCATCTAGGGTTCTGCTGTACTGATGAAGGGTTCCACTGATATGATAGAGTACGACAATATCAATTAGTACCATTGTAATCAACAAAGGATCCTTTACAATCCACAAGGGTACCAGTACAATTTATTATGGAGAGAGTACCTTTGTAAAAACGTAGGGTACCAATGAAGTGGTTTATGTATTAAAACAATATACTACACATGCATATGTAAAGGTTTTAATTTAATAGGGTAGTGACCGATATGAAAAATATATGGCTACGATCCGATGTGGTCTACGGTGTATATTATCAGGATAAGAATATAATTCAGAATGGGGTTGACGTAATGACCACCTGATACGAATTTTTTCTATGTTGTCAAATAACACTTTAGGTCTTACACTATACAGTGTAAGAACAAAATTTATCAATTGCTAGTATTTATACTTTGAATTACATACAAAAGTAAGTACTAAGTGTATCAATTAGTAATTAGGAAGGTTATATCCTCCTTAATGCAATTGATAAATTTATCATTTGTTACAGTGTGCGTATGTCTCCTACAATACGGTTGGTTGGCTACAAAGATTGAACAACACCCTTTCCACAAACCATTAAGTCAAACCCTCAAGCATTTGTAGTGGTACCCTAGGATGTTTCCACTGTACTTTATTTTCACCTCCATGAGTAACAACTGACCAAATTTACAATATTAAAGACCCACTGATTGTGATATATTCACAGGTCCATTGTAATCATCTAGGGTACCAAGGTACTTATAAAGGGTTCCACTGATATTAATGGAGTACCAAAATAAGATTCAGTACCATTGGAATCGGCATAGGATCCGTTAAAGTAAACAAGGGTACCGTTTAAATTATTATTGAAAGGTTACCTTTGTAATAACCTAGTGATGTATGACATATAAATATGTAAGGTCTCTATTACAAGGAATAAGATATAATTGATACATGTTGAGGGGTAACTTTGATTGTTGCCGACAGAGGACTACATAAATTAGTTTATCATAAGATGTTGTTTAACAACAAAGGACTTGACATAAGGAAAAACGTAGTTCGCGATTTTCTTACTTGTCGATGGAGCCTTTGGGTGTACTTTGTATAGTTAACAACACTGAGTGTATCAATTAATACTTTTATTAGTTTCAACTACTCGTATGTTTTTATGTTAGATAAACAAGAGATGTGTAAATTTTGTACACACGGTTTTTGAATGTACCTTCATAGTTGAGTTTTGTACCTTTGAAATTGAGACATTACAATTAGATTTGGAATATTGTACCATTGACTAAAATCAATCAACACATGTTCTGTACAGTGGTACTAACCACACATTGGTCTTTTGTTTCGTGGCATTACAAGCCCAGGGCCCATCTAAAAATTAGGCCGGTAATTTAGCGGGAAATATTCACAAGTTCATCGCCAAATTTTGAGGTTTTATCTCTAGATTCACCTCTTCCTTATCACTTATAAATACAAGGGCTTGTAAAACCAATGTAAGCAGACCAAGAAGGTTTTAAGAAAATCACTTCCCCTACCCTAAATGTCATTCAATTCAACCTCTTCAACTGCTCGAGGAAGTCAGAAGTCAGTTTATGACTGGTAACGGCGACATCGTGTGGGTCACTGCAAAGCTGTGTAATTGTGGGGGCCAAGCAGTTGTCGAATTTCGTATTTCACTTTCCGAGGATAACCCAAGACGGTCGTATTATAAGTGTAGATGTTGTTCCTTTTGGCAATGGGCGAGGGAGGAGGATCTCATTCGAACCACCAACAACAACGGGTTTGGCATGATTTGGCAAAGGGTTGATGTCCTTGAACAAAAAATTGCTAAGATAATGAAGTATGCGGTTGTGGCCTTTGTTGTTGCTCTTTTATTGCGTTTTTTTAGTTGAAAATTATGGTTGGTTTGTGTTATGTCTATCCTATTATTATGTCGGGTTATAGTTTTTGTATCGTATAAGTATGTCTTATATTAATGCTAGTTCTTATAAATATGCTACTTGTGATTATATTGTTAATGTTTGCCGAATCGATATTTAATTGCATGTTCGTTACTTGCAAGTTAACATCTAAATAGTCATAATAACCATCCAAACAATCTAAATTTTTAAACAAGCACAAATACTACTAATTTTAACAATAACTATAGTCTGATAGCTTCATAAATTTAAACAGGACTAAGGAAACCCCTAGATTTGTTCGTAGCTGCATAAATACATAATGCGACAACACTTAAGAAACTATTAAGCAAACAACAAGGACTTCATTGAACAAGGGCCAGCTGCACCGTCGGTCTTCCTCGAACAAGTGATCGTTCTCTGAATGAACAGCTCCATCGTCATCCCCCTCCGTCTTCGTACCAAGTTGAAGCCGGGTGGAGTCGTTGAAGGGGTGTTTCAAACCCCTGGTTGGAAAATAATTGTGGACATGTTATTACTACTTTGCATAGTTATTTCAAGTACCAACTCATGACCAGTTCAAAGGTCAAAAATTATTTGTATCGAATAATTTAAGGTACTATAACCCGATAAATATAACTTCTAACAATTTTAAATCCATAACACTAACACTTCACTGCAGAAATCAATAGCTAACTCATTTGAACACTCAAAAAAATTAAAGTGTAGGGCGTGGTTAAAAAATTAGCAAATAAATATAAATTTAACAATTAACTAAATTGAACACAATGCAGCTCATTTAAGTCATGTGTGTCTTTATTCGATATCCACCATTTAAAAAAATTAAATGACCGTAGTTCTTGCCCTTCTTGGTCCGTATTTAACATTCTGAAAACTGATTTTATGTATAACAAATAATTTAAAAAAAATAAGGGGAGTAAGGTACCTCAATAGCAACCCCTAGTTGGTGGCCGTAGGCAGCTTGACCCCTGTGAGTAACCCAAGGATAGACATCACTCTTCTCCCAGATTAGCAGGACACCATAGTAGCCATTGACAAAGCCGAAACCATCAACCCTATACACACCTTGGAGTACGTCCCTCACATACTCGAGCAAAGCACCATCGGCCTCCGTTATGACAACGACTTCTGAGGAGAATGCATGAACAACTTGTTAAACGTCTCTTTGAAATAAGGATGATGGACGTTCTTTACATTCCAAAGGACAAATGTGGCCCCCTTCGGGAATTTGGGAGCTTGCGGGATGTGCCCATCAGAGCCACGAATAAAAACACGATGGTACCTAATTTTTCTTGGGGAAGTTTTCCAAGTAAAGAAGTTCAAGTTCACCAATTTCACCTGAGTGTCGACTTCCATCACATGAATATCAGCGATTTTGGCTCCGATGAAGATGTGCCTTTCTTGAAGAGGAAGGGTGTAAATTGGAATGTGCTTGGTCATGACAATTGGCTTCCGATAAAAAATTGGGGTGAGATCCTTAGGTATGAAGGGAGCATCTTCCACACCCATGGATTTTTGACATAACCACCTTGAAAAGATAGGAATACCCTTGTGGAGGTAGCCTTCGAGGTCGGAGAGAGTTAGATAGTAAGCAGGCCTTACATCCAATTCCGCCACCTCCATAAGGCTGTCGGGGATGAAGGTAGTGGTCTCATCTTCAAAGGACTGGATGAGTTGGTCTCGTACAACACTTACCGGTATTGGATCCATGTTAATGAAGTAATCACCCCCAGCATAATTAGTAATCTCATTGAAATTAAGCTCGGGTTCAAGGGTGGTTAAGAAAGGACTAAAGTAGAAGATAGGTTCAGATGGGTGTGTTTGCATTAGCCTACCCTAAATGTTTCGAACACTACCGAGACGATTAGCCATGAATTCGTGAGTTTAGTGATTTGGAGTTATGTTCTGGATGTGTTATGAAGAGGAGTTAATGCATGAATGAGTTTAAGAAAAAGACAAATGAGAAAAAAATCCCAGGAAATCCGTTTCTAAGTTTAAACCAATTGAAAACCTGTTTTGTTTAGTCCAACAAGCAAGATGTTCAGCTGACAAGGGAAGTGGGTCTTGATAAGACAATTCATTACAACAGTAAAAGTCAAATTTTTAATATTGTAAGTTTTTTGTCCTGTTAGCTGAAAACTAAATGACCACTTTGTTCACTCTTTCAAGTTTATTATATGTTAAAGTGTAAAATTGTAAAACCACTATGCTATCTTCGTGTTTGGCCAACTTTGGTTCGGTTCATTTACATTATCGTCGTATGGTACTAAATTTTTCGGTGAAATTAATGGATCAAGTTTGGTTATTTTATGACTTTCAAGATCGTTAATTGTTCGCCGAAAACATATATTTGTTCATGTGAAATTAATGGACAGTATAACATAGTTACTAGTGTGTTCCTTATATAAAATTCAACCTTTGTGAAAATGAACCATATCCTTTTAAAGTGCTTTTTGAAAGTACAACCGTACACTGCTACAACCTTTAACTGAAAACATATAAAGTTCAACTGAAAAAGCAAAAGACCCATCTGAAAGGGAAGTGCAGTTCTTCATTTG